ACACCCACATCCACACCGTCACTGAGTGGGAACCAATCCTACGCCGCCCGCACACAAGTCAGGCGAATGTACCACTACACCATCAGCCACATCACAAAAATCAATTCACTCCAAATTTTAATATTATGGAGTCTGGACAGGAGCTTCTGATAGCAAGCCTTGCGCAATGAAATTTGTTCACGCTGCAACCGGTACTTGAACTTAATGTTTATCATTGGCCACATAACAAGTAGCTCTCTTGCATTTTTATCAGTAGTTGTGCAGTGCAAATATGGCATAAGTAAGAAATGTAACATCGTAAGTACAACGTTTCTGAATACAAATGAGTATGAGTTCAAAACTGTCAAAATGTATAAAGGGGATCTAAAGAAGGACACTGTGACTGAAAGAGCAATGCCCTCTTAAATACGCCAGCTGAACTTTGGTGTATGCCAACATCCAACCGGTAAAAATAAAGGCACAATAACTACATAATGGGCCGCAATTAAAATAAACGCAAATCCTACAGGAGAACTTCTACAATTCGAGTCTTCTTTTCTCACGCACAGAGTAACTCCCTAACGCTATTGCTGACTAACTTAAATCACAGAACACTGATAACACATGCACAGTGGCGGGGGTGTTCTTAGGAAGTAACAGGTTGAATGAACCGATGCCGTCATCCGCACAAACCGAGGCTTTGTTTGTCATTGGTCACGTGAGTTCCTTGGAAACGACACACGCTCCGAATCGGGGCTTCAGTTAGCACATTCATTCTTGCTCGAGCCACGCTCTTAAGCCTCGGCACACTATTTAAAATCACTCGTAAATATTTGTTCAAGCAGAGCGGGAGTAGAAGGGAGAAGACCTTTTGGTTTAAACCTGTTTTCTCCAGTTTGTATTGATCTATCTCTTGTTTGTTTTAGGGAAGGGAAGGTTACGTTTGGGTGTGTTTTTTTTCCATGTTGACACTGTCTCCCTCTGAATAAAAACTGCTCGTTATGAACTTAATTCATCGATCTCGGCGGCCTTTCTGTGGTTGGGAAGATGAGGTGCTCCCACCTGCTCATGTCCTGTCCGAGGTTCACCTTGGTTGGGAAATAACATGTCATTGACATCATTTATCTGTAGTGGCGACTGAGGGCAGTCTAAGCAGATTCCAGGGGAAGCCAATGCCACCATAGCCCTGCCTCTGATTCCCCTACTGGTCCCGGTTAGCCCCAAGGACAACATGGCTGACATTGATCTGTTGGAAAAATAGCTCACCGGTGATCAGACATGATGCTTCTTAGAATTTTTAAAACAAAATAAGAATGTTCATATTCATTTGTCTACGTCTGTATTCGTTAAAACATCAAAAGATAGGTATTATTTTATGTTTATTTTCTACGCATTCAGAGAAGCCATACCTTAAATATATTGCTGCTAAAAGGCATCTTTGAGCAAACTTTTGAGTATCATTTAAGCACCTGGACTGAGTGTCCTCTTTTTTGGAAATAAAAATATGGGCACCCTTGCACATGATTAGTTACTGACAAAATTTGATGTTATCTCCCATTATGGATAAATCTGGAGCATCTACATGTCAAAAATATTCTTATAAAATACTGCCACAGTGCTGATAAATTGTACACCTGTTTGATGAACCATTTTATTTGCTTGTTTTTGTTTGCCTTACTTTTGTTTCATTAACCAGCAGTGTTCCATCAAAATGTCCACGGTGGCTGTGTGAAATGTGTCTGTAAATGTAAGTACCATGTATTTTGGGTGTAACGGGGCATTTGCGCCTTCATGCGCCACATTGTAGGAGAATGAGCCTTTTTCCAGCCAATCGTTTGCGTTAAAATCAGGGCGGTCGGAGTGCGCGACGCCCCGAGTATGCCATGCTTGAGGTGGCAGAAACAGGAAGAGACTCGCTGGAGTCTATGCATGGCATTGGCAGATAAGCTGCAATCTTCCCCCTCGATGGATGATGTCATCAACTGTGCATGTTACGTGGGCAATTGGAGACTGTCTGCCACCCCTGATGATGCATCTGTGTGTGTGACCACCCCACGGGGGTAATATAAAAATATCTTTGATGATAATGATTCTAATTTGTTTACTGAATTGGTTTCTACAATGATTCAAAGAGATTTTCCCATGCTGGTGTCATATTTATGAATGAAACACCATGACATCCACCACACATATCCACAGAACGTCAAATTTGTCTGCCTGCGCGTCAACAAAATCCACCAAAATGGCGTTACACCACCTGTGCTGCGAAACAGACCTGCTTAAAGCTAGTCAAAAATGTTGAGTTATAGTGTTAATTTATTTTCTTAGTTGTCTTAGTTGCACTTGCAGTGGGTCTTATACTACCCTATACGACAACGTGAGCCGGATGAATAATTTTTTGCGTATTTGCATTGATACTTGGAATAATGTTCGTTTCTCGTTCAGCAGTCTTAAATGGTCATTTACATGCAAGAATGCCCTTTGCATTGGAAATATGTGAGTGTTTTGTTGTTTGCTGCAAGCCCTTTGTTTTTGCAGTAGCATTGTGTGTCTTTTATACATGCATGGAAAAATGTAATATAAAAATATTTTGTCCAGAAGCATTTTTGTCATGCATGTGGTTAGGAAGTGCGTGGTCCTATGATGCCCCCCAGGAGCACTGATGAATAAATGTGGCCCCCTTCAGTATTTTAGCTGCCCATTCCTTGTCTAGTTTATCATCCCAGGAAGCAGGCTAATGATTAAAGAGTGACGAAGGTATTGTGAAGAGAAGGAAACCTCAAGAACAGAACCACAGTTATTTCCTCAAATTGAGTAATAGTTTTGGTGTTACCGGTTTTGTTTTAACCGCTCTAAAAGCTTCCTCTCTAACGGGAAGACTTTGGAATGTGGGAATTTTTGTCCATTCATGTAGATGTCAGCAACTGACGATCAAAATAAAAAAGACACAGCCGCATTCCAACTCGTGCAACTGACAATTTAATAAATATCATATCTTGAAGCTTGGGTGGAACCTAAGAAACACTTGACAATTAGAAGGATGAGGAAGCAATGTATTGGTTAAAATCCTGCTTCGTAGATCAACATCGCCACCTTCTGGTAAGAAAGTTCTTCTAAAGGCCAATAGACAAAGTGCTATTCACTTGTTTCCTTGTTATTCTTGTTTGTCTTTTTAAGTAGAGCTAATAGAAAAAGGCTGCACAGCCTAGGCTGTTCAGAGGACACGTAGACACGTAGCATGAATGGCAAAACATAATTTCCAAGACAATCAACATATATGTTTCTATCTTTTTTATTACATTAATTTAGTTATTCCAAACAACTTTATGTAACTCAAAGTGATTATACTGACTGTGTGAATATATGACCTTATCGCTTGTTTGTCTTTTTAAGTACAGCTAATAGAAAAAGGCTGCACAGCCTAGGCCCTAGGCTGTTCAAAGGACACGTAGACACGTAACATGAATGGCAAAACATAATTTCCAAGACAATCAACCATATTGTTTATACATTTTTATCCATTGCGGGAATTGGTGTAAAAAAAAAAAAAAAAAGTTGCTAGGTGTGCATAAAACCTAGCTACTGCATGGTAGCCCACAAGTGATTAAAAAAACACACACACATAGAAAACACCCATTGCATTGGGAGCACAAGAGAGGTGACGCCCACACTCGATTAAATTGTGATATGAAGTAGCGGGCCACAAACTATCATCCTGCGGGCCGCAAATGGCTCCCGGGTTGCAAGTTTAAAACGCCTGGAATAGAGATGAAGCGAAGACTGGCACACGTGATTTGATGTGGGTATTAAAGTGGCTGAACTGTGAAACTATCTTAAATGGGGAGTCGGTGTTTGTAACTACAAACAACTAGCAAGATTTGCATGCACCCTCACTTCACTAATCCCTCCCCTCCTGAGTCTCTGCCCAAAGCCACACCCCTCACTAACATGCACTGTATGTAACAATCACTGTAAACAAGCCGTTAGCTACGGCTGCTACGTTCATAGCATATCTTATTCATAATGGAGTGCTACTATAACACTAAATGTTTTTGGTTTCAAGCTTTATTTTTTTGGAACCTAAAATCAATTAAAAAACACAGAAAGTGGTGATGAATTTACCTGCTGAGCATAAGCTGTCCAAGGTCCCTCCACCTGTGAAAGGTAACGCCAATGCAATAGCGACTCATCAGTAAGAGAGTGGGAGGGTGCCACTGACCTCAAAGGAAGAAAAATATAATAACGAAAATGAAATATTGTAATAAAATCATTTCAAAATATATGTATATCTGTTTTAAAGGAAGAAAACTATAATAACGAAAATGAAATATTGTAATAAAATCATTTCAAAATATATGTATATCTGTTTTTTAAATGAACATGATTAAATAGTTTACAGTTTTTGATGAATAAAATGCATTTGTGTATTCTGGCCTCTCAAACATAGGAATGCTCAAACTGGTTTGAACACAGAGTACTGTAATGCCCAGTTGTTGGCAAACAAAAGATTGACACTCTTATTTTCTTGAGGTGGATATTCTGTCATGGCTTCAGCAAAGCTTGCAAAGCCAAAGGTAACAGGTCAGCGCAAGGCCGTGGGTGTGTGCCCACTATGAGTGGGCCGACGAGTGCATGACAAATGATTGATGCCTCAGTCAAGCGTTTTGTCTCTTATTGGTTGTTTTTCCTCAGGTGCTGTGGTGTCAACGTAGAGGCACAAGATGGGGCCAGAGAGGGGTGTTTTTTCTTCACAGTTACTCACTACCACTGTCATGTAATATTGACAGCTTGGACAAATGTGACAGTGAATTTTTTTTTTTTAATTGCAAACTCCCTTTTTTAGATGTTGATTAATGTTCTCATCAATTGTAGGCAATATGTGTTCTGTAAATTGGCTTGTTAATGAACTTGAAGGACTTTAAGGAATTTGTCTAGCTCTGGAAATAAACAAAATTGTATAAAATTCTGAGTTTTTGGATGCTGATAAACAATTTTCAAAATATTTGCAGCACAAGGGTGTGGAGGACCCACTAACTGCATTTTCCATGAGCCCCCAAGTGACTAAACAGGCCCCTGTTAGTAAGCAGTGGTGTGAAGTAGAGGCGGAAGATGAGGATCGTGGTAGTTGCCGTCTTGTGACACTCGTCTTGGGAATGCGACAACAGCCTCATCTGGACTTTTCGAGGAGAAGGAGGAGGAGGAATGACTGTTACGTTCCCGTATCCACTATTATTGTGCTTTCGCACTTCGCAGCAGCCTGCCTGCTCGCTTTGTTTTGAACTCTGCAAACAGCTTGACGAAAGTCGCTGTCTCAGGCATCTTCGGGGAGGGCGGCTACGAACCGCGAGCTCGTCGTGTTGTCTCGATGTCTAAACATGGCAAAGCGGTGAAATAAGAAGGTAGGTCTTCACTTTGTAAAGGATCTTGCGTGAACGTGTTAACTTTATAGTTAGCGCTTTTGACTCTTAACTAGCTTGCTAGGCTACTCGCTCGGTCGATTGATTAGCGTCACACTCACCTTGGCATTTGCCTGAATACAGTGTACATGGTTTAAGTATATTTTCTTTGCATAATAACGACAATGTTCCTCCCTTCGTTTTCACGTCAGTTGTTTATCTGTAACGGCTAACGGTTCACTGTTTTTATTTTTGTGTGTGTGCGTGTGCGCGCGCTGTGTCTTCTTATGCAGCACCCCCATCCCTGCTGTCATGGAGGTGGGCAGCCTCCCAGTAGAGCTGTGGAGGGTTATCTTAGCCTACCTGCCTCTCGCCGACCTGGGCCGCTGCTGCCAGGTGTGCCGCGCCTGGAGGGAGCTTGTCCTCTCTCTTGATAACACCCGGTGGAGGCAGCTGTGCCTCTGCTGCCCCGAGTGCCGACACCCCAACTGGCCAAGCAAGCCTCAACTGGAACCCCCGTCTTGGAGGGAGGCCCTCAAGCAGCACGCCCTGGCCACCCGCACCTGGACTCAAAACGGACCCGAGCACCAGCCAACAGCTTGTCTCCTTTTATTCAAGCGCCGGAAAGACCGCAAAGTTTGGCATGTGGGGCCCGGGTTTGAGTTTGAGACCCTGCGAGGAGCTCTTGGTGTGGCGGGGCCTTATGACCGATTGGTTCTCCATCCAGGGGTGTATGAAGAGCAGGCTGAGGTGGCCCTCAAGGTGCCCGTGGAGCTGGTTGGACAGGGCAGGCTGGGTGAGGTGGCCCTCTTGGTGTGTATGGAGCAGCAGTGCCCTACTGCCAGGCTGTGTAATCTGGTTTTCATGCCGCCCTGGTTCTCCACCGTGGTCTATAAGGTGAGATCGTTTTTGGTTTGATCCAGAACCACTTTTTTGGAATAATAGGACTCAAGTAAAAGTAAACCATAGTCCTCCAAGTAGCTACTTGAGTAAGAATAAATATTCAATGAAAAAAAAAATACTGAGTAAGTCCCGAGTAATTGGTGAGTAACTTTGTTTGGTTTATTAAACATATAAACAAGTAACAGAAAATATTGTAATATAAAGCAAAATAAGATTTCAAGGAGAAAAAGCGCAAAGTCATCCTTGAAATGTACCTCCGCCTGACCTGCAGCAGTATTGTCACATTTGATAAAATATATGGTGTTCCCATTTTTGTGTCTAGCCTTTTATTTGCTGAAATAATCTCCTTTGTGAAATTTAATGCATGGCGCCATGTTAGGAACGAATGCGACGTCAAGTGAGAGCAAGATCATATGTTGCCACTGGCTAAGAAAGCCCAACTTGATTACATTTATTTCTCCGTGGTGTTTTCACGTTATTTTCTTGCGTCTGGCATGCAACTGACCGAAATACACAAGTAGAAATAAACAACATGACGAAAACCCCAGTTCAGTTCGGGATAATGATAAGAACAAATACATTTAGCAAGAAACATGATGTACAAGCAGATTTTATTGGCTTTTGTGGGCAACATAAAATGACGTGGTTGGCCTGATCTGGCCCGTGGGGCTTGAGTTTTACGCTCGTGATCTAAAGTATCTTGGGAGGCAGATGTTTTTCAATTAGTGGTGCTTATTTAATGCAGGATTTTTGGGGCTGTACATCTTATTTTCCTGAAAAAAAAATCACAAAGGGTTACCCATTTCTTTTTCGTGTGCGTTCGGGTCATGATCATTTTTGAAAATGTTTTAAAATCGGGGTTTTCTTATTTTCTTCTTATTATTTTGTACTTGTTTAATGTAGGATTGGTAGGACTTAGCCAAGGCTTGAATTTGGTGCTATTCTAGTTGTTTATATTTATATATTTTTTAATAGACACATTTCATGGTAGGTACCATGAAATGTTGCCGTTATTCTAAACGTATTGGATCGTGCTGGTGTTTCAAAGGAACTAACTTGCTGATGGTTTCATTTGTGTTTCATCCCCCACCCCTTTGTTTGTTGTAGACATCATGGGGTCATGTGCAATTGGATAACTGCAACTTTGAGGGGGCTCAGCTGCAAGTCCGCGGGCCCGGGACTTGCCAGGCACGCTTTTGCTCCTTCTCAAAGGGGAGCTCAGTACATTTGCTCAGTGTGGCCCTCAGCTTACTAGACAGCTGTGACTTCTCCGGGAGCGATGCCGCTTCTGTAACAGTGGAAGGTTCACCCGTGTCTGAAAAGAACTGGGCTTGCAAATATATGGCTGCCCTGGCCAGGACATTCTCACCGTGTGAGAGCAATAACAGCAGCCCTCACAGAGGGAACTCCACTGGTGGACCTTGTTCTGATGCTACTGTTAAAAAGGGGCACACAAGTATGGAGAACTGGAAGCAGGAAAATGGATCGGAAGCAGTTGATCAGGGCACAGTGATTGAAGATGGATGGCGTGTGGGTGAGGATGACAGCAACAGAGAAGGAGGAATCACCCAAAAAACATTTTCACCGGATTATAAAATCCCATGTGACAACCATGGACTGGCCTATTTACTGAAGGCCCGTGCAGATGGCTCTTTGCCACCTGCCTCCTCCCCGCATCCCCCACGCGTGATTCCGGAACCCCTCACCCTACAGCAGGAACTAGAGAGGGACCCAGATGCTCAGATGTTTGTGGCGTCCACTCTAGGCTGCCTCGTCCGGCGTTGTCTCTTCAGGGACGGGAAGGGAGGAGTCCATATGTCTAATTACGGACAAGCTCGACTGGAAGGCAACGTTTTCCGTTGTCTGAACTATGCTGTCAGATGCATCCAGAACTCCATTGTAAATATGGCTGTGATACAGAGGAACCACTGAAATCAAACACAGTCCATTACAGGAAATAATCTACATAAATCATCATTGGGTTTTTGTTTTTGTTTTGTTTTCGTTTTTTTTTTTTTTTTTTTTTTTTTCAGATAATGAGGTCCTTTTTTTAATCTCCATATAAAAATAGATTAGAATACAGAGAGACTGATCTGTTTTTTTTCTCGGAATGGGCGAGTAACGATACCAGTTATCGGCTCTTATGGAGGCTGCTGATACCAGCCACTGATAATGAAGGCAAAAAAATCTGAGACCAATGTCGATATGTATTAAAATGCCAAATATCATCGCTGATCTTGGCCAATAATTGCTCAATCCCTCTTGAAATTTGCTGAGCTGCTCCAGTGTCAGTTGGCGAGCATGGGCAAGGGAATGAAATGTTTACCAAAATTGCAACGCTTAATCTGTGAAACGCTGAGGGCCTCACGTATATCTGATTGATGCATGAAACTAAAAGAAAAAAACCTGACTATTATAAAACTACTGTATTCTGGCCTTTTTTAATACGCGTGTTTGAGGCAAAACCCCAAAGAAAATCAAGTTTGAAGTTTAATGCAAACTGTGTAACTTGAGGGGTTCCCCTGTATCTTTTTTGTTCACATTCCTATTTACTGAATAATTGATGGTCATTTAAAGATGTAGCCCAGAACCCAATAAACCGAGCTCTTTCGTCAATCTCTTATAGATAGTGATGCTGCGAAACGAAGTGTGTGAGTGCAGAGCATCAGGCGTTTTCCTGCGGCTGTCGGCTCAGGGCCTCATCGCTGAAAATGACATCCACTCAAACGGGGAGGCAGGGTTGGACATCAGGAAAGGAGCCAACCCAATCATTGTGGTAACTATCACACAGATTTGATGGTCTACAATCAATATGCCTACAGTGTTAACACAATGTTGCATTCATACGCGTAGGAATGCTGAACGACCTATAATCACATCATTAAACTCAAAGAACAACATTTGTCGGTTATTTGGGAATTCCGAAATACTGGAAAAGAAGACATTTTTAGATGAGGTCATGAACAGTAAAGTAATTTTGTCAATAGTACCATGTAGATGAAATGCGGTGTTATAAAACTAGACAGGGATTTTTCAGTATACTTTTCATTTTGACCTTTCAAATTTCAGTTAGTTGTACTGTAATTAGTTTTTAGAGCAAGTTGGTTAGTTGTTATTAGCATTTATTTTTTGGGAAAATATTTTGTTTCAGTTTACTTTTTATTAGTTTTAGTATTTGTTCTGTGTATGGGGTATTTGTCGAGTGTGATTAACAAAAAAATCACAAGGCATTGTGTAACAAAGTAAACAATAATTTCAAAATGGCTGTTTGACCTTCCTTCTTCCGTACACATCATTCACATGTAATTTCTGAAGGAATTACAACTTGTAGTTTCAAGACTGAAGCAGAATCCTTGTTTGATTATTAAATTAAGTAGGTTGCATTAGTTTCTGAATTATATCTGATCTGTTTGATACCGTGCTGCTCCCCCCCCCCCCCCCCCCTCAATCCCTTAGTGTAACAGAATACACAGTGGCTTGCGCTCTGGGGTTGTTGTGCTTGGCAATGGAAAGGGCTCACTTCGGAGCAACCGGATCTATAACAACAAGGAAGCAGGCGTGTATATCCTCTTCAGTGGGAACCCTGTGGTCTGGTAGGTGCAATCCCATATTGCATTTCATTTTTTGCTTACTTCTCACATTGCACAGAATAATTACCACATGCAAACATTGCACATACAGACCAGAAATATGCAAAAGCACTCAGCAGCATTATAGTGACTCATGGAGATGTAAGAGTGAGGAGGCTGGGGTTCAGTACCTTTGCAAGGGGCAGGGCATCTTAGCAGTGAATGGACAAGGTACCTCGCATATCCCAGACTGGTGTCGAGGACTGCCCTCGGTTACCCATGCCCAATCCTACAAAGAAATAATTATTTGTGCATGTTTAAAAGAATTGTTCAATTAAAAAAAAAATCACATCTTTTTAATCAGCTGATGTCTCTACTGTCCAGGAGAGATACATGTTGGACCACTTCTTCTACACATTCTGCAACATATGAAAAGTGAATAAAGTCCAACAAATAGTAAAATAATTCCAAACCAAGGAGAGTATTTGGTAAAATTTCAGTTGGATTTTTTTTTCAATTTCAATTTGTAATAATCAAGCTCACAATAGTTTGACAAACTAGTCAACTTCACCATCCCTATCAAGAGTGTTATGTAGACACACTAAGTCCTTGTTTTTGGCTTGAGAAGACAGAGCTTCTTGTGGCACCAGATGAGCGCACTGAATGAAATTAGTCTGTTACCTGAGTATGTTTACTAAGTATATTTTATTTCTGAATGTCAGATAAGATCAGAAAAAGATGTGCAGCTTTTTTGAGTAAAGGGTGGGGGAGCAGGTTCAAGCATTATTTTTAACTATTTTTGGGGCCATGCTATCAAAGTTGAAGTGGGGCAGCGAATTATTCTATTGCACGCAAAGAGGTCCGTGATTATTTGCATGCACTACAAATTTCTACCATGCAGAACCCATTGCTGGGGTTGACGCCGAACGAAGATACTTTTTCTCTTTTGGCCAAATTGTGCTAATATTACTTGGTTGTCCCAGCAACAAGCACACAGAGTGATAGGATATTTATTCTGAGCTATCATTTGACGTCTTCTGTTCTAATCTTCTACTTTAATTCGATATATAAGCAGTCTATTCTCTGTGAATATAGTTTATTGCAGAGGCTTTCCTCCTCCTGCAATTTGCCTTTTTTTGAAAAAAATTTCGACATCATCAGTGACTTGTTGGCACCGACTCAGCTTTCATGAATGTTGACTTAAAAGAAATTTGAATGCAACCTCTATTATACAGTGGTCTTTCTTCACTAGTTCCTTTCTTCATGTTCATCCTCTCTCTTAGTGGGAACCACATCTTCCAAGGGCAGGCAGCAGGAATTGCTATAAATGAGAATGGCAGAGGGATGGTAATGGGTAAGTCTAGCATTGGGGCTTTTTTTTTCTTTTTTTAACCAGCGTGGCAAATGTAAACACATAAAGTACTCAGTAAACCTTTCATTTTTAATTCCAGAGAATGTCATCAAGGAAAATCAGTGGGGAGGTGTGGACATCCGCAGAGGAGGCGACCCAGTCCTGAGGAATAACTACATCTGTCATGGATACTCTGATGGCATTGTTGTGGGAGAGCGTGGCCGGGGACTCATTGAGGGAAACCATGTCTACTGTATGTTCTCCCCTGATTTGAGATCAATATCAGCAGCCAAAGTCCTCTCCATCTAGTTGTTTGATTATTTTCTTTCTTTTTTTCTTTCTTGTCACTCAATAGGTAACAAAGGTTGCGGTGTGTGGGTTATGTCATCCAGCCTCCCGCAGCTCCTTGGAAACTACATCACCCATAACTGCATGTACGGCCTGGCTGTGTTCTGTAGGAAGGACCCCGAGAACATAGAAGCCAGGGAGGGGAACTGGCTGGCACATGACGGGATCGGTGGAGACAACAGCGGTGACAGGAGGGGCATAATAGAAGATGATGCTAGGGAAGAGCAGGAAAATTTACATGAGGAAGGAGAACTCTTTGCATGGGAGAGCGACCTTGACAGTGAGGATGAACGGCACTCAGCACGCCGCTCCATCAGTGTGGCGCTGGTGGAAAGCAACTGCATGAGCTTCAATGGAGGTAATTCAACATCTATCATACTTGTTTTGTTTTTTCACCCCCCTCAATATTAAATGTTTTTCCCCATATTTCTCTCACCCTCTGGGTAGCTGTCGGTCTGTATGTTAAAACCAGTGAGCCACTCAACGTTTATGCCAACCTCGTCAACCGTAACAGGGGTGATGGCGTCGCCGTGCTACAGAGTAATCATCTGACCCGCCTGGTTGCCAACTGCATTCTTGCAAATGTACGAGGGGGCGTTACAGTGGAGAAAGAGTCCCGTGCGGAGCTTCGCAGTAACGGTATATATGAAAACAACGGCCACGGCATCAACTTCACAGGGATCGGACAGATGGTAGAGAACGATGTGGTTGGAAACTGTGGCTACGGGATCCAAGTGTCTGGATGTGGTGATGTCAAGGTGTTGCATTTTGACATTATCTGGAAAAACATTTACGGTACATCAAATATATGACCGGCAACTCGTCACTTACAGGTGCTGCGCAACCGTGTCCAACCGGCATCAGGTTGTGGCATCTCAATTCTGGGAGCAGTAAAAGCGGTGGTCACTGATAACCAGCTGTTCCAGGGCCACCCAGATAGCAAAAAAAGCCTTTTATACTTGGACCCTGGCAACGAGAGCTGTGTGTTACGCAACAACAGTATTTCAAGACATAATAGCAGGTATCCAGGCAACCCACAGTGTGCCAGACTGTCTCCGACGCTGCATGTGCACTGAGCCAATCTTTTCGATCTGTTTTTTTTTTTTTTTTATAGCTGTACATATGTCTCTCCTTGGATTCTGGAAAACCCTCCCCCCCGTCCACCGGCCAGCTTACCTTCGGGGCTCTCCTCCCAGTACCCTTCACGGCTGGGAATCTCCATGACGACCAGAATCAGTGCCACTGTGGAGAGCGGTTGCCACAGTGGCAGCATGTTCTGTTCAATCCTGTGATAAAACTAAGAAGCACTTAAACATAAACATTGAAAGATGACCTTGCCAGAAGTGAAAGTAGACATCATCACTGCCTTCTGCAACTGCGCTCTTTGGGTTGAATGTATCCAAAAGGAATATTAGAAATCTGGTTCACACAAAGTGGAATTTTAGACTGGTGGGTCAAAAAGATTTTTGTCAATCAAAAATCTAAACATGCAGTGTTAACCGGAAAGTATTTACAACATATTTTTCCATATTTTATGTGATAGCCTCACCACAAGATGGAATATTTTTTTCAGGGATTTATACACATAACACTATTTAATGACAACATGATTGTATTTTAAAATTTTTGCTAATTTATTAAAAATAAAAACTAAGACATCGCATGAATTTAAGTATTCACAGCCTTTGTTCAGTATTTTATCTCTGAAACCTTTGGAAGTAATTGCAGCGTGAAGTCTTTTTTAATATGATGCCACAAGCTTGGTTCACCTATCTTTGGGCAGTTTCACGCGCTCCTCTTTGCATCACCTCTCAAGCTCCATCGCGCTAGATAGGGCGTGTCAGCGCACAGCAATTTTCAGATCTCTCCAGACATGCTCGATCACATTCAAGTCTGGGCTCTGGCTGGGCCACTTAAGGACATTTCACAGCGTTGTCCTGAAGCCACTCCTTTGTTGTCTTGGCTGTGTGGTGTGGGTCATCTTTTGAAAGGTAAACTTTCATCCCAGTCTGAGGTCCTAAGCACACTGGAGCAGATTTTCATCCAGGATGTCTCTGTACATTAATTTATTCATCTTTCCCTCATCCTGACAAGTCTCCCAATTCCTACTGCCGAAAAACATTTGCACAGCGTGATGCTGCCACCTCCACGCTTCACTCAAGGGAAGGTATTGGTCAGGTGATGAGTGGTCTAGTCTTTGTCTCCTCAGACCAAAAGTTTTCTGTCATGGTCCGAGAGACCTTCAAGTGTCATTTGGAAAACCCTGTGGCTTTTGCGGAGTGGCTTCCATCTGGACACTCTGCCATACAGGCCTGATTGGTGGAGTGCTGCAGAGGTGATTGTCCTTTTAGAAGGTTCTCCTCTCCACAGAGGACAGCTGGAGCTACAGTATGGTGGAGTGACTACCAGGTTCTTGGTCACCTAACAAATTAAAGCCCCTCACCCCTGATTTTCCCGATTAGTTTAGATGGGCAACTAGCTCGAGGAAGTGTTCCGCTGGTTCATAACTTATTCCATTTGCAGATGACTAAGGCCACTGTGCTCATTGGAAGCTCCAAAACAGCTGATTTTTTTTTTTTTTTTTTTTTGGTGTGTACTCTTCCGCGACTTGTGCGTCAAGACAATCCTGTCTTGGAGGTCTACAGACAATTCCTTTGACTTTGTTTGGTTTGTACTCTGACATGCACTCTTACCTATGGGAACTTATAAGGGCAAGTGTGTGCCTTTCCAAATCATGTCCAATAAAATAAATTGACCACAGGTTGACTCCAATATAGTTGTATGAACCTCTCAAAGATGATTTATACCTGAGTTAAGTTCTGAGCTTGATCTTTGTGGCAAAGACTGTGAATACTTATGTACAGGTGATTTTATTTTTTTTATTTGAGTAAATTAGAAAGCAAAAAAAATCATTAATGTTGAGTAGAATTTTTAGGAAACAAATTTGTTTGTTTAATTTTGGAATGAGGTTGTGACATACTATGTGGAAAAACTGAAGCACTGTGAATAATTTCCGGATGCACTGTATCCTCACAAGTGCTCTGGGATCATTTCTGTGGCAACAGAAATTTGTTGATCATTTCGAATAATACCTCTATGATAGTGGAGGCTAATGTCAACTCAGTACAGTGGACTTCTGCCATTTGCAGGGGGTAAAGACAGAGCCGGCCCGCAAATAGGGAAAATCTGCATACAATTAACCCCCATTGAAATGCATCCAGAAATTAGTTATTTTTTTAATCCAAAACATCCTTCAGAAACCGCTGTGTGATCCTAAACTGATTTTTCTCACTAATCTCTGGTTTTGGAGATTATTTGACATTATCACAAAGCATCACTGCATTATAACCTCAGATCTCTTATATTGTTTGTGTATTGATACTGTCACAACTGCTTGAATACAGTATATAAGCTCAAATTGCCACTACAAGAAGTAGCTAAGTAGTCAACTGTGCTTTGTCTACGATTGGTCAAATTTCAAACTTAGGTTTTCAAATATTTACAGTCACCATTTATTGGTTTATGTTGACTTCTCCACACTTTGTGTTCCAACCTTAATACATGAAGGTTCTGGAGGTCATGTATTGTCTAGATTTTTTTCAGGGCTGATTTTGAGTTCACTGAATTTTTATATTCAAAATCACAATGAGGGTCCAGTTTTAAAATGTACTTTTCATGCAAATAAGTGCTGTAACTGTTGCTTTTCTGTCAGCGTTGACTACACTTGTAAATTTTCAAAGTCAAACAAGTCAGAGATGCCGCCTTCCATGTCCTACGTGGTAGACCTGTGCCTTGTGTGAGCTTTTTAAGTAATGGTAGGTGTAGGATGAGTTTGATATGCAGAAAAAGCCAACCTCATGATCCAGTCTCTTAATACGTGTCCTACCTTCTTATGAGTCTGTGCTCCTGCAACCAAATCATTCAAATTCTTTCACACATTTGAATTTTGTCATAGATACACCTGTGGTAGTAACCCAAAGAAGGTAGGATATTTACAGTGTGCAATATAAAGTATAATGTGCCTATACATTTTTAACCACCTTAGCTAGACGTACGCTTGTATAAATGCATTTACATTTGTCTTTGTGTATCAGCTGAAACTGTAGATCATGATTTGCAATCACATTTTAACTTTATTTGTTCACTAGTAAACAATTCTCAACTTTGCCTTTGTCGGTCTTCAATGCATCTTCTTGCGTTTCCTTCTCTCCACAAAGTGCTCATATTTGACTAGAGGGAGGATGAGAGAAGCCTGTTTGTGTTCATCCTGCGGTCCAGCCACGATGTTCTTTCCACGGGGTTTCTTCGCCAGGGTCAGCCCCATTGACTTTGCAACTTCGATTATCCTATAAATCCACAGAAACCTCAGTTAGCACTTCAGACAGAAGTACATTCAGTACACCCGCACAACATCCATCCATCCATCCATTTTCTGATCCGCTTATCCTCACAAGGGTCGTGGGGCGTGCTGGAGCCTATCCCACTTGTCTTCGAGCACACATACGGGTACACCTGAACTGGTTGCCAGCCAATCGCAGGGCACACATACACAAACAACCATACGGGCTCACACTCACACCTCGGGACAATTTGGATTGATCCATTAACCTGCCACACGTGATTTGAATATGGGAGGAAACCCACGCAGGCACCGGGAGAACATGCAAACTCCACACAGGAAGGCCGGAATCGAAACCTGCAACTCTGTACTGTGAGCTGTATCACTAACTATACTGTACCTTTAAAAGAAAAAAAGAGACGTTTGACCCTGATTAATAACGCGTCGAGATGACAGGTGTCAAAATCAAGGCCCGGGGACAGATTTAACCCGCCATGTCATTTTATGTGGCCCGCAAAAGCAAATCGTGTGTCAACTTGCATGATCTTTGCTAAAATCTGTACCGAAATGTCAAATTGTCATGTGTGAGAAATAATGTTAAGATTCTGCAATAATTTTGTTACCCAGTTTACACTGACTCGAACAATAATTGAACAAACTATTATACTACATTGATTTCAAAACTAATAATCCATTAATTTGTTGTGTAAAAGCAAGAATGCGATGAGACAATTAAACATTTTTGTGGTTTCACTGTCATAACAGCCCTCTGAGGAAAGATGTAACTCCAAAGTGGCTCTGTGACAAAAATAAGTTTGACAACCCTGGTCTAGAGTCTGATGAGTGAATATGCATTCTCACCAAGACATGAGGCGACTTAAATAATTTCTAATGTTGGCAATTGTGATTCATCTCAGATTTTGAAGGTATAGCTAACATTTTGGCCGGTTCGTCTATAATATTTCCAATCTCAAAACCCCAACACCCACCTGGCCTCGGTGAATCCCATGTCTCGATGCAATAATGTGAGGTCAGCGGTCATGTCACCCATATGGAGCAGCAGAACCAGGCAATATGCTGCTAATTTGACACGCATTGAACCAGACACCATGTTAAGGACCCTGAAAGGTGACGTAAAATGTTACTGTGATCATATTGAACGTGGAGGTTTCTAATGCCTTAAATAGTAATATGTTGATAAATTCAACGAGGGCAATATCGCATCATACCTGCCATTGTTGAAAGTCTCCACTGTGAATGTCCGGAATATTTTGTTTTGCACAATGCGAGGGCAGCCTTCCTCCATGCCAACTGTGAACACAAACCCATGACTAGTTGAGAAAGGCACAAAGTGCTGCTTTTTCAGGAGTGATGGTGAGTTCACTGACACTTGCGGCTGATGCTCTTCTGCCGTGACAGTTTGAGAAGCATAGAAAGGTAATAAGCGCAGCATGCCATCTTCTTTCGGGCTTCATCATCACTGGGCAGGTTCTCCAGGTGCTTCAGGACGCACATAACCCTAAAGCGATGGAAATAATCAAAAGTTCAGAAAATACAAAAACATTTTGCCCTTTTTGCTTCAAGTCCACCAAGATGTACAGTTGATGTTATTCACCAGTGGGCAGTACCTTTTTTTATGTCTTTTTTTTTGGACACCCTTTTGTTGGGGTACCCAACACAGTTATGCTAGAGACAAACTGCAGTCTGAGTGGTTGGCAGAAAATTGCCACCAAATAAGAACACTAACCAACACATTGAGTAAGTGCATGTGTGAGTAAATTGAGATCATCTTTATGCATGGAGTTAATGTGGCATTTTTTGTTTGGCAGTGTGCCATGGGTTTTTTTGATGTAAAATATATGCCATAGCTCATTAATTGTTGGGAAACGCTGGGTCAGGATGTGTCCTTCTGAAATGATGTCACACTATTTACATCTGAATCATACTGTGGCGCACGAAACTGAACTACCGCTCGGGAGAAAAACATGACTTAAGTCATCCTACCCTCCGCTCTCTCTCATAGTCTGCAGCTCTTCAGCAGTGAGTGCTGCCATCTTGGAACCGGCTTCTTCCAATGCCTTGAATTCCACAGGACTGAGGACTGTTGGGTTTTCATAAGGAAAAGAGGAAGACTCAAACATAGTTGGGGTTTCGAAGTTGACGTCACCCGCAATGGATTGGGGATAAGAAGGATACGTCCATCCAATGGGTAGACATTCTCAGGCATGTCTGCATCTGCGTTACGTGGAGGAAGGTGGAGAGCAGAATCTGCCTGCGACGCTGTCTCAGCAACTTCCCGTTGCAGAGCTGTGGAGGGAAATAAGAATCTAAACCTTTAAAGAACCACTGAGCTGAGAGATTTGGATTAATATTTCAGGTATTGCGGTTACTTCTGTGTATTTTTATTTATTTACTCTCTCTCACCTCTATTTGCTTTGAAAGTATTCATTTAATTTGACTGGCTTTTGTTTTTACTTTAATTTAATCATTCTAATTTTTGTAATATTTTTACTGCGACTATTTCTTACTTTTTATTGTATTTGTATTTGAACTGGGGTCTCGTGGGAGCTGAGACAGTTAATGGGATGTTTTTGTTTTCTTTTAATTGCTGTTTGAGCATTTTGATTTACATGTAATTATAAATTCCCCAAATACCTAATGTAACCCTTACTATGACACGTATTCAGCCCACATGTCACTCTTACAATATTTTAGAATAAGACAATATTTAATGCCCAATCACTTAAACGGCTAAAGCAGAACATGAATTGTGATGTATCGCAAATCCCGGTGTTTATTCTATGAGTTAAACACTGATGTTTTAAAATCATGCTTAAAAACAAAAAAAGAGCCAGTCATTTGAACGGCTCTTTTAGGTGAACGGCTCCTGAATGAAAGAGACAGTCCCATCGCCAATAATTGCTCAAATACATTCATCAGTATGTTCCTCTTGGTCCTTTTGCTTACCATCCAGACCCTTCTCATCAATGACGGTGTTGGCAGCCTTTGTGACTGCCTGCTGCAGCATGTCATTGTTCACCATGTTCAGCCTGCGAGAGTTCAGAGCTTTCTTCTGTTTGTTGGTACCAAACGCCTCAATCAGAGAGTCAACCTGCACAAAGGACTCAAGACCTTACTACCAAACATATTTACTTTACAAATATTTGTGAAAGTCCATTTTATTGTTTTTCAGACATCATTTGATGAGTTAGTTTGGTTTACAGAGGTGTTCCTTTTGGTTGTGCGGGATGCATCTTCAACAAGTACTGCATAGAATTTGAAAATCTTTTTTTGAATGTTTCTAATGACCATGTCCTTTTTCCAAAGTAGGACCCTTTCCATTGAGTTGGAAATGTCGAGTCACAAAGCAAAGGAGTCCAAACAGAAACAATTGTCCCCCTAATTCAATTAGCTGCATAAATGAGAATGCTTTTTGATTTATCACATGGAAGAGGGAAATCGTGTTGCCAAATATTACTCCTTATACAAACAAGAACATGACAAACCTTTTCTTTGTGGGTCTGAGTTGTCTCCTCTGTCGTCACTGTTGTTTCTCCTTGTGTAAAGATTCATTTTGTTAGGCAAAACATTTCATAAAGTCATGTCAAACAAAGTATAACTCAGAATACCTCTGAATTCACTTGTTGCATATTTCGCAGCAGTTTTTTTGCCGTGACTAGCAACTTGCCACCTAGTGTTAGTCTGCAGTGAATCGCGTGAAAACTACATGGGCAAAATTTGTGCAGGTTAAAGTGTGCCAGATTGTGGCGCAGTGGGTAGAGCATCCATGCCGACGGTACTCCTTTATTCCTTTGTGTCACATGTTCGAATACCGCTCTGTACCTTTCTAGTTTAATTTATTTTTAACTGTGTTTGTAATTTCTTGCAGCCAGTCGGAAGTTGTAAATGAGCTACTCTGTTTCACATGTTTATTGAAGAACTGAATAGTTATGCAGTTGAATAACTTAGAGGTACCTTGTTGGGGAAAAAAAATAATTGGCAAAATGATGAGAGCCCCACCCAAAAAAGGGGATGGTTAGGGTTAGGATAAGTAGCAGGTTAATAGTAAAAAAGGGTCAAAACATTGAGGTTGGGGTTGGAATTAAGAAAAGTTCAAGAGTTTAACCAATTAAAGAAACAAAACAAAGTTAAGGCAAGGTTATGAAATACAAAGTTACTGGACTGAAATTGCCCTCGCGGCCAAAGCTGGAATCAGGAGCCAATTGGAACTGAACATGGCAGCATACACATTACGCTAAAATAACCTGTTCACGGTCAACCTAGTGTAATCATGGTAAAGTAGCCAATTTTCGGCAGTTCCAGAATCCTTCGTTCCAGCAATTGACCAATCAAAACCATTCACGGCAAAACAACACTAGCAGAAGAGTTGCTCGTCATGGTCAAAAAAAAAGAAGGAAAAAAAAAGAAAAAAAACACTGGCTAAAGATTTTTCCTCTTACCGGGTATAACAGGTTGCATGTTGAAGAGCAGTGCACTGTGCAGTTCCATTTGCATGGTCTGCTTATTTAATACTCCAACATAATAGCTAACAAACAAAACATAAACAATGAGAGTATAGTGATCTAGTTCCAAAGAGACATTCTTCATAACTTAATTCGACCTACTTGCAAAGACTGTTGCATTTAAGGGAACCTGTTCCAAAATTCTGCCCAACATAGGACAGCCTTTCTGATTCAGCCACCTAAACAAAAAGAAACACAGTAAAAAAAAACTCTCAACAATTACATTAAACAGGAAGAGAGAGGTCAATAGTCTCTCACCAGTATCCGTCTAGTTTTTTTCCGAGGGTTAACCTCATCGGCACTCTTGTACATTGTGAAGTCCAGTTTCTCTGCATTCTGGACGCCTCCATTGGAAAATCGAACTAAAGTAAAATACAAAATAAATCCATGAAAGTAGTAGAGGGAGATTGAGGTAGTCAATGGGAAAGTCAGGATTCGAACAAGAGCGTACAGAAACTTTTCAGGTTTTCTTACAGGAATATTCATTGAAAAAAAAGTTAAAATAAATACACAAAACAACGAGGTCAAAGACATACATAATCTAAATTAACAAACTCTTGCATATTAAAATTAAATAATTACATATCACTGCTTTGTCCGAGTCTCTCTCTTCTCCGCAGCACACTACAGAACAGGAGGCCGCCATCTTTGTTGTGCTGAAAAACTTCCGGTTAACAAACTTCCGGTTTCGTCGGCTTGATTCAAGTGAGATTGTTCGTGTGCCCGAAAAAAATCGATGGATAAAGAGTATTATTCAGTACGTTTTAAGGTGTGCTAGTATTTTTGTGGAGTCCGTTTATGATCACTTTCGCAGCAGTTTGTTCAGTATTTCATTCCAATATGTTGAATAGCCCGAACTCACTTTTATTTTGTGCAATATCCTTGCACTTTCACCTAGTTTCCAAATTGCCGTGCAGATATTTCCAATGCAATCAGTTTAACAAATCAACGAAATTGTATGAATGTTAAAATATTCAAATAATACACTAATGTATTATTATTCAGTTATTCAATGTTATTGTCCAACATTACTTAAACTCGGTCTGTCATCCTTGTATGCGTTGGCAATTGTGACACCTATTGGTCATTTGTTGAACTGCGGATGCTCACCTCAGCGAGGTCATGGAGCACAGCGCCGCCACGTGAGTCTAGTCGGGAAAATCTGTCTGGGGAGGGCAATTAACAAGATTGACTGTTTACTTGCTTTTCAAAATGCTCATCTCGTAGCTATCTCTTTTATAAGTAGTTTTTATTTCTAACAGTCACTCTGGTTGAAACTACGATCGGCCGAGGATTTGCCGGAATGAACAAGACCCATTTGGCTCTTTCGCCCCCACAAGACAGGCTGCCATAGATACGAGTAAATCCTCCGGGGACGTGGATCCTGGCGGTAAAGATTTTTTTAGACACCTTGGACGACATTTCACTCGTCAAAACACTAAACGCGCCGGTTGAAACTGACCCCCTCTCAATGTGGCCGACGTAATGCTTCTCCTCCCATCAGCTTGCTGGCAATTAGCTGGTCAATAGCCAGCTAACTTTAGCCTCGCCAGGGCCCGAAATCTGCTGCTTTTTTTTCTCACATTGTGACTGTTCAAGGTAATGTGACGTTATACCTTACGTCAACATCAATGTTTGCTGTGTATTACGCTGGGCCGACCACTTACCTGTGCGTCATAATCATCTATTAACTATTTGTATCTTTGGCACTGCTACAAAGCTGTCGTGTAAATGGTGCTGTTTAATTGCAGTTGATACAAAATAAGACTACCGGTAATCTTGAATCGACAATTAGAATTTCTGGGCTACATCGATATCAATGGATTGTCTGTTATGTGGATAAAAGTATTGGGACACTTGGCCGTTACACTTACAGGAAGTTGACTTGATTGAATACTTAAATGTAAACGCTAAAATCATTCATTTGAATGTATCTGCAGTGATATTTCACATTTTTAAGAAAATATTTTTACAAAGGTATTCAAAATCTGTACATAAGAGGTCTGTTGCTTTAGAATGACTCAAGTAAAAGTAAAGTAAATTTTTTGAAATTCAAATTAGTTGAGGAAGAGTAATAAAACACTCAGTGAAAAACTACACAAGTACTGAGTAACCAGTGAGCTAAAACAATAAAATTAGATCTTTGTAAAGTAACATAAATTAAGGTAAATTCAGCCGAAGAAATGATCTGATACTACAGTATTTTGTTACCACTTGTTAGACTAGCACAACAGGCTCACCAGGCAGAGAGATATTACATCAAAGGTTTTTGTGATGATGAGATGAGACAAAGATAAATAATTTCTTTAACTTTATAACTTTTTTTATAACCTGTACAACTCAACACCCGCCATTGTTTCAAGAGCCGAAAGTGATTACAATGGACTGGTACTGGAATGGTGAAACTGAACACGAGGAAGTCTCGTGGACAAACCAACATCAATCACTCATTACTTACGGAGTAAACGTAGCACGTTTATATCCACCTCTTTATATGTAGATTATATGTATGAATGTAGCCCATCAAATGTGTAATTCAGCACAGCTTCGGGCTAGAATACGATGGAAAAGGACTCTATTTTCACTTGACCCTAAAAGGCAAATGGATGAGTGACTGTAAAACATTACAGCACTGTCTTAAACTGAATGTATTGGCTCCTATGCCAATAACCTGTTTATATCTTGTCGTCAGGAGCAGTATGGACTTTCCGAGCCACTTTGAGCAGATCTTCCAGCAGCTCAACTATCAGAGGCTGCACGGTCAGCTGTGTGATTGTGTCATTGTGGTGGGTAGTCGACACTTCAAGGCACATCGCTCTGTGCTGGCGGCCTGCAGCACCCACTTTAGAGCGTTGTTCACGGTTGCAGAGGGAGATGCCAGCATGAATATGATCCAGCTGGACAGCGAGGTGAGAACCCTCGTGATCAATGCAGCGGTAACTCGATGTTCCATCGTAAGCTGTTATGTGATGCTGGTTGACCGCTGATTTGGTAGGCTTTTTAAACACATTTAAATGATACCTAAAATGAATGATTATCTGAACCACTTTACCTCACAAGAGTCACAGGCGTGGTGGAGCCTTCACAGTTGTCATCGGGCAGCAGGCGGGGTACACCCTGAAAAGCTTGCCAGTTAATCGCAGCATTTGGATAATACTTAAGGCATATTTTTCTTGAGAATTTTGGTGGAACTGCAACATTATACACTATAAGCTTTAAGGCATTTGGCATTTGAGCTTCCACTATGCATGTAACAAACAACGGCGTTTTGTGTATGCAGGTGGTGACAGCGGAGGCATTTGCTTCCCTAGTGGATATGATGTACACATCCACCCTAATGTTGGGAGAGAGCAACGTGATGGACATTCTGCTCGCCGCCTCCCATCTGCACCTCAACAATGTGGTCAAAGCCTGCAAACACTACCTTACCACACGAACCCTGCCCATGTCCCCATCGTGTGACAGACCCCCACCTCACCACCAACAGGAACAGCAGAGGCACAGGCAGCAGGTAGCAGACTTGGTGAACCCCACTCTAGACACCAATGCTAACCTTGACACAAATTCCGCCACCTCAAAGTTGCAGCGCTCTTTCTTGCTACAGCAGCTCGGCCTCAGCTTGGTGAGTTCTGCTTTAGGGGGGATTGAGGATGGCAGAGTGGTGGAACAAAGAGCCTCGTTCCCTGCACGACGCTTCCACAAGCGCAAAGCCTCCCCAGGCCTATCAGAGGAAAGGCCCAGACAGAGGCAGCGCCCCTCTGCCCCGAACATAGGGTTACTTTCAGAAGAGGGCATGAGCACAGACCGAGAGGAAGGAGCGCTTCTTTCGCCAGATTCCCACAAGATGGGGGATGACGCCAAACTGGATGCAGGCATACTCTGTGCCCCTCAGGACGATCCTCAGATGCCGAGCCAGTCAGATAGTGGGCGGTGTGAGGGGAACGACATGGGGATAATGCAGGGTGGGGTGGGCAAGGAGGAGGACATGGAGGACGGAGACCACCCAAGCAACAAACTGAAGATCAAATCAGGAAGTGAGGAGGAGGAGGGGGCAGAAGAACCAGAACAGAAGGTACGTTTTTTTTTTTTTTTTTTTTTCCAATCATGTTTTTTGAGGGGAGGAGGGTGTTGCGGTAATTTAGAGCCTTGTACTAGCCCAGTTGGACCAGCGTGTAAAGGTGGGTAGTGGCCCGCCACAGA